ATACTGACTCAGGGAGGAGGATCTGACTGAAACCCTCAAGAACCCACAGGGGGTCAAGGATCCCAGCTTCGGGGCTGGGCAGGGCTGGGCTGCAGAATGAGTTCAGTTTCTCCTAGAACAACTATCTGAAGGGCTGACATCTTTCAGAGAAACTTCAGTCCACAGCCACGATACCCACAAGTGGACATCTTATTTCCAGAATTAGCGCTCACAGGCGCTCAGGGCCATATGACTTGCACTTGATGTCACTTTCAAAAGATGAGCTGGCCCAGGTATGGGTATAGGAGCAGCAGCTAAGGCAGACAGCACCAACCATGGCCACTGGAGATGAGTGAGAAGTGGGTGGTCTCACAGCCCCTCATGAGGAAGGAGAGGCTTCAAACACAAGGCTGTAAAGACCCAATGACCCTCCACCACTCAAGTTAAATGCAAACTGCTTGCTTTCCCCGTGACCTCCAGACAATCAGGTTCTCTGAGCTTCTCTCTGGACCTGCTGGCCTTCCTGGGCTGTCCTGCTCCCCACAAAAGCCTCTGCCACCCCCCTGCCCCTGAGTCTTCCAAACAGTACCACACTGCAGAGTGGACACCGAGCGTGAGAAGGGGTGGTACACCACCTGGGTATAACTTGGTCAGGGAGCATCTTTCAGAAGGCCTAACCCCTCCCCAGTGCAGCTTTGTCTCCTCCCGCCTAAGCTCTTGGAAAAGTACTAACGCTACACACTACCTTGGCTCTGCATTGTCAGCAGCAGAGGCCCACCATACATGGTCCACCATACACCATACACTTCCTACTCTCAACCTGTGGAAGCACCAGGTAAAAGAAATGCAGGGAGTCTATAAACTCAAACTGTCTGGGCCCTCCACAAGTGTCACCTTCCCAAGGACAGAGGAATTAGCGGAGCCAAAGTGCACCTTAATATCCTAATTCAATGCATGAGTCTATACTGGGGCTTGGCTCAGTGTCTGCCCCCGCTGCCCCCATCTGTCATTTTGGGACAGATGAGAAGTTTAAGTCTATAGTCCCATGACAGCATGGGGTCACTACCCATTTGAGGATCACAACTGTTGCACGTGGCCGAGAAGATGTCATAATTGCTCTCGGGAAGCACACGGTGGAGTATTAATAAGGGGTGGAGTCTTGTGAGAGCTCCCCATCCACACTGGCATACCAAGCAGGGTTGTCCTTGCTCAGGTCTTGTTTAGGTGACCATATTGAGATTCCACGGGGCAGCTTTCCTGTCCTATATAGATGACAAAATCTCACAGCAAATGTCCTGTTCCTCTGGTTTGTATCCTGCCACCCACCCCCCACCGTGATGTTCCCTGACCATCTTATAGATGAATAGTTATAACAATACTAAATAAAGCAAAAGAGAACATGAAATTGGGTGAGTAGGGAGATGGGGAGGATGTGGGGGAAGGGAAGAATAGGATCAAAACATTGTGTGAACGTTTCAAAGAATTAATAAACTTTTTAAAAGAATAAGCTAAGGGAATCATGGCGAAAACAACACACACACATGGGAAGACACACTAGGGCGTCAAGGTGGCATATTAACAAAGTTCTCTGTATGGTTCTAGAAATTATTCAAAATGGAAAGCTGCCACCAATTCCCACGATATAGAGCACGCATGTTCGAGTGACAGCTGCCTGCAGAGCCGCCCTGGGAATCCAGCAGTCAGAGGTGTACAGGATTGGGCATTCACTTGTGACCTCCTCTCCTTATGTGGCCTCAGTTTCCACAGCTCCGCCTCACACTGCCCCACTCTTCTCAAATGTACCCAGTGCACAGCAACCACAAAAAGGCACCTCCATTCCCCTAAGTGGTGACTTGGCAAGACATCCTGTCAGGCTTTGTAAGGTTGGAGGCAACAAAAGCTAACACTAGAAAGAAGATACCTGCCCCGGTGCACACACAAAAGCTAACACTTGAGAAGACAACCACCCCGGTGCACACACTAAATTTCAGAGGCTTCGGTGCATCCTGTCAAGAAGGCGAGCGATGGGTACCAGCTCAGCAATAGGTCATCTGAAGTCATTATTCTCCCACTTCCTGCCTGGCTTCCTGTCCCATGTTCAACAATGGACCATTCGTGTGATGACAGACAATGGGCTGCTCTTCCAACCAGCAAGACTGGTGGCTGCAGCTTTTGAGGTCACTGTGTCACTGTCTGAGTTTGAGGGTGACACTTTGAACTGGCTGCCGACACCTACCATTTGGAGTGTATCTGCCTCATTTTAGAGGAATTAGGGTCTAATTAGCATCTATTCCTCCCCCCCCCCCGCCCCCCAGCCAACTAAGGAAGCTTTAAAGCTTTATTAGTGACTGCACTTCAGCATTGGGTTAAGACATGCTAAGGGTTGGAGAGACGCTCAGCTAGTAGGAGCCCTAGTCACAGAAGTTCCCTTGTCTAAGTTAGACCCTGCGGCCCACATAAAAACGCTGGATGTGATGGGGTGTGCATCTGTCATCCCAGCACCAGTGAGGTGGGAGGCAAAGGAATGAGAGTCGCCTGGAAGCTTGTAGGCCTGCTAGTTCAAAGCAGAGAACTAACTGTCAAAAGTTGTTCTCTGACCTCTACACATGCACAGCGGCCTGAAAGGTGTATACAATCACACACACACACAAATGAAAAAAAAAAGATACACAAAATAAAACCTAAAATCTTGCAAAACAGTACAGTGATGTTTATTTACATTTACTGTGTTAAAAGGATGGGAAATAACAAAGTCACATCAGATGCAACCATCACAAGACGCATCCTTAAACATGCAACCATGAAATAACGTTATAAGGAAAGCAGGAGGCCGAGCACACACAGCCATGGAAGAATCTGAGGCGGTACATAGTGCATCAGTACAGAACCTGAACCATCACCTGGATGCCCTCCCTGAGGGGCCAGCCAGAGGATGTGATAGCTCTCACTCTACCCCCGACTTGGACCATCCTCAGCCATTCACAGTCCCCAGGGAGCTGCTTCAAGCATGCCCATCTGGGAGGGCCTCCTCGGCCTCTGCCCAAACCTTATGATTTAAAATGAAACTTGCACAAAAATATCCATCAAACGCCTGGTTCTGCAGACAAAGGCTTCCATATGACCGGAGAGTAGGGTGCTGTGTGAGCTCCTCTCAGTGTACAAACCCCAGCAGTACAAAGACCTGCCCACAGCCACGTCCCTCCTGAAACACCCTCACCCACGGGCATCATAGCCAGTTCCTATCCAGACTTAGTCTCTGGCAGAAATGGCGTGTGTGGTGGTTTGAAAGAAAATGGCCCTCAAAGGGAATGGTACTTTTAGGAGGAAGTGTGTCACTGTGGGAGCATGCTTTGAGGTCTCTTTTCCTCAGGCTTCCCTCAGTGTGACAGTCAGCTGACTTCCTGTTGCCTGAGTCAAGATGTAGGACTCTAGCTCCAATACCACATCTGCCTGCATGCCGCCATGCTCCCTGCTGTGATGAAAATGGACTGAACCTCTGAAACTGTAAGCCAGCTCCCTGAATTAAACGTTTTCATTTATAACAGTTGCCACGCTCATGGTGTCTCTTGGCAGCAATAAAAGCCTAAGACAGCCTGTCCTCCTGGACTCTGAACCCAACTCCAGCCCAAGACTAAAATGCAGTCCTTTACATTCTTGAGGAGCCTCCTGCCCTTTACCTCTGTCCTCAGCAGAAGGACCAGGCTCCTGAACGTTCCATGGCCTCATACATTCTATAAGTCCTCACAGAAACGCTGAAATCTCTAACGAATCCAAGGCCAAGGGATTAGTGGATGTAACTTTAGTGGTAAATTATGAAATCAACCATTCTTCCCCAAAGATTGCCATTTTGGATCTAGGCTTAGAAGGTATTTATATTCTGTGAAGAGATCCATGTCAGGGGGCAGATGCCAGGCTATGTCAACTAAACACAATATTGTGAAAAATTCCTCAGCCCATTCATCAATGTGACAGTTCCCATTTAATGACAGAAGCGTAACTATAGCGCGTGCGCACACACACACATCCCCCAACACACCCCATGGAAAAGCAGGAAGGGGAACTGAAATTATTCTCAAGGTTCGGGACTCCCTGACAGATCTGCTTCTCAGTGGGGGTGGAAAGGAGTAGGGTGGTGGCAATGGTGGTGTCCCTGTGTGTCTGAGGGAGGTCTGAGTAGCCCTGCCGGCAGAAAAGAAGACCCCAAACAGCTCATGGGGAGCACTCACTTATTTTGGACCCACTGGCTAATTAGAAAATGTCTATATAAAGACAGAAACACCTCAAGGTCCTATGCCTGACATCTCTCCAGAGAGAAGAGAGGTTACATTTGAATGAAGGAGAAGGAGCCGAAGTTACTTTCGGACACGTTGTTAAGAAACTGGTCATCCCACCCACAGCCATCCTGAACCTTAGAATCAAAGCCTATACCCTCAAAAGAGGACTCCCTGGGAAAGGGGGTACCAAACAGACAAACGTCTTCATTCTATCAGGTGAGCACCAAAACTGTTTTTAAACGTACTGCTGGTAAATAAAATGATGAACTAAGTTAACTATTATTATAACTAAAGTCAGGAACATACCTGAGAAGTCTATGGAGCAGCCAGCCAACCTTATTTAACCTCCGCGAGGTTCACGTCATAAGCTATTGATTATCGCTCTCCTAACATTTCAATAACCCAATGTGCAACGTCCCTGGCACCCCTTGCTGGTAGTCCTGGCTGAATGACAGTCTAGACTTTGATAGCTCTACACATGGAGAAGCACCTTACACGAACTGAAAACTAAGTGCTCCATATTTACATGGGACTATTTCAAGATGTACATAAATAACCTTTTAAAGGAGTTTTAAGCCCTTTAAATATGCTGAGGTCTCTTGCACATAAAACACTTCTTGCAGTTTCACATTGTGCCTTAGCTAAAGGCAAGCACCCAGATGCAGCAGGAGAAGACGTAAAGAGAGAAGTGATGTAGCCCGCAGCTTGTCAGTCTCCTTTCTCATGGGGGTGGGGAGGGGTCCTTACCCTCCTCGTGTAAGATTCGTTGAACTCGTCTCCAATCCGCCGGAGCTCCTGTGCAATCCAGATCTCAGGGCGAATATCTGCAGGTTCCTCCTGAGACTGCCTTATGGAAGCTGTGAGGGCACAAAGAGACCAGAAATCATGCCAGGGTCCACAGCACTGAGAACATCACACATGAATTTCTAGGAACAAACCCATCTCACACACTCCCGTCCTTCAGGACACCCCCTGGCTTTCAGGGACTCTCACTCCGGTGCTGAGAACCATGAAGGACGCATCATCTTAGTGAATGGCCTAGGCGGCTTTCTGCTGCTGAGGAACCGGTTTATTTGGCTCTCACAGTTGATCACAGTCCATCAAGACGTCAAGGAGCAGAGGCAAAAGAAGCAACAACGTTGTTTACTAGCTAGCCTACTAAGTCTGCCTTCTTATACAACCCAGGGCCACCTGCCCAGGCTAGCCCTGCCTGCAACAGGCTGGGCCCCCACATCAATCATTTATCAAGAAACTACCCCAGAGATTTCCCTGCATGCAACCTGAGGAAGGGAACTCCTCAATTAGGATTCCCTCTTCCCAGGAGACTCTAGCTTGTGTCGAGTTGACCAACACAACAAAGCAGAACCAGTAGTCAATGTGTAAGTGACAAAGAACTAACTTCACAGAATTGGAGACTTAGACTTACAAGAACTAAATCATCCTGGCCCAGCCACACATACTCCTACTCCCAAAAGAGTCCTCAGCAGCATGGTGGAGATCACCAAAGAAACACGACAGCAACCGGTGATGTGGCTTAGTCGTGAAGGCAGCTGGCACCAAACCTGACAAGCTTGATTTCCGTCCCCAGAATCTACAAGGTGAAGGCAGAGCACTGACTCACAGCTGACTTCTGCCTTACCCATGAACACAAAGTAAATGGAACAATGATGAAAAAGAAATAAGTAGCCAGGCGGTGGCGTCGCACGCCTTTAATCCCAGCACCTGAGAGGCAGAGGCAGGTGGATCTCTGTGAGCGCGAAGCCAGCCTGGTCTACAGAGGAAGTTCCAGGACAGCCAGGGCTATAAAAAGAAGAGGAAGGAAGGAAGGAAGGAAGGAAGGAAGGACGGACACCAGTGATAAAGAATTTGCCTAGCATTCATGGGGTCCCAAGGGCTATCCCTAGAACTACACTAAAAAAAAAAAAAGATAAAACATCAGAGAACATAAAATTTTAGTTCCTTAGTAAAATACCCATAATACCCACTTTGGTCTTAGAACAAGGCACAAATTCCTAGGAACAACTCAAACCCGATGAAACGTAGAAACCTGAGCTGCCCAGAAGATGGCTTTCTACAGAAGCAGGGCCAGTGACACCAAGAGCTCATCCAGACGGGAGAGGCATCAGCCCGTCTCTGGGTGTCACAGTTCCACTCTTTCCCCCATAGACACTAAAGAGAGATATCTAGCTTCAACTCTGGGGTTGGGCGGGTGTGTAGAGGCGGGGATAGATATATGCTTTATTTATGAGGCTGGTGGGATGATCGAACTTGCTGGTCAACTTACCTAATGTTCGTTATGGGGCAAGATTCACTGATTTACCCAAGGAAATGACTGTGAGCCATGTGGTTCTAGGAGGCCAAGCTGAGGTCTCATGGACCTGAAGCTCTTGATGACGAATTTCTTCTCTCTCCTCTCTCTTCTCCCCTCCCTCCCTCCTCCCCTCCTACCTTCCCTCCCCCCTCCCCCCCTCTTCCTCCCTAGACAAGGTCTGACCCTGCACCCAGGCTGACCCTGGATTCCTGATCTCTTGCCTCCACTTCCCAAGTGCTGGGGTTACAGGTGTGTGTCACCAATTGCCTGGACTCAAGATGCAACACGGTTCACACTTTGGTCTTGGTCTGTTTAAAACCTTCAGAAAATTGCTTGAGTTCTCAGCAACGCCTTCTGAACTCAAGGAAGCTGGCCTGCTTTTTGAGCCACCTGATCTTTCCTGCTGGCAAGGGACATTTGGGGATGGTTCGACTTCCTCTCTCTTGACTGAACCCTCTTATGAAGCAGCATGACCTTCCCCATGCATCTCATGTCTGCAGCACTGCTGTTCTTTACACACGGAGAGAATTATGCTTTAATCAGCATTGCCAGCTTCTCCCACTGTAACACGAAACAGTGACTAACTCTGATGAATGCCTCCACACTGTAAAAGAAGCCTCCTGGCATTCTAGCTAATTCTTCTCTCACATGTATGCTTCAGAAGGTGCTCGGTTTCACACTTGGCTGGGAACTTAAAAAGCCACTGAAGGAGCTAGCCTGGGTCACAAGCTGACTTATCAAAATTCGCACTTAGCAAGCACACCAACCCTGCTAGCAGCTATGGCTCTCTGGTGGCCAAACTCAACTTGTTTAGAGATAAATGCCTTGTTGTTTGAGGAGATAAGCAGCCAGCCTGTTTCTCCCATAAAGAACAGTTCAATGGCTGTTAGTACAAGTAGGTACATAGATATAGATTCCTACAGCCCATCAGGGAGGCTCAGGGTGGGAGAGAATGGAAGCCCTAAGGTCCACAGACCAGATTCTGAAGAGAAAAAAAAAAAAACAGAAAAAAACAAAACAAAACACTGAACAAAGGACCAGAAACAGTGGCAAGCCTGGGGCCCTGATCTGTGATTTCTAAGAGCACTTAAGAGTCAAGAGGGTGTATTAACCCAAGATAATGGTTAGACTAAGCTTAGTCTACACTGTAATCGGCAGGCAATAGCTCTGGGTTAGTAGGCAGGCTACCAGCTGTACTTAGGTGTAATTTTCAAATGCTATTACAAAATAGCGATGGACAGCGTAAACACCACTCACAGAGGAGGCTGGTGTAGCTCAGACTCGCTAACATACCACCCAGCCTTTGTGTGTGTGTGTGAGAGAGAGACCACGTAGCCCTGGCTGAGCTGGGACTGCCTATTTAGGCCAGGCTGGCCTCAAACCATCTGCCCCTGCCTTCTGAGTGCTAGGATTAAAGGCGTACACCATTCATGTCTGGCTGGTGTTTTGTGTTTTTAAAGATCAAGAAGCTGATTTCTTTTTTTCTGTGATGCTAAAGATCCCAAGGCCTCCAATGTAATGGTCAAGGGTTCTACCAATGGAGCCACAGCCTCCAGGATAGTTGTGCTTTTAGATTTTTATTTACTTTTATTTTACGCATGTAGCTGTCCTTGCCTGCAGGTACTTACGTGCACTGTGCATGGCTGGTGTCTGGGGAGGCCAGATGAGAGTGTCAGTTCCCTTTGAACTAAGGTTACAGATAGCTGTCAGTTGCCATGAGGGTGCTGGGGCTATCTCCCTAGCCCCTTTGGTTTTTGTTTTTTTGTTTTTTTATGAGAAGCAAATACTACTCCTCTGATCTAAACTGAAAATTAACGGCTAGTATCTGCTCCACGAGGCACAGGTAATATGCACACAGTAGATATGAACTACGCTAGAGTCTACGGTTAGCTGTGCACTTAAAGAAAAGCCCTCTGGGGATGAGTCTGTGTGTATGAGCACATGCGTTTATGCCAGTGTGTGCGGTCCAGAAGAGTGAGGCGAGTGTTATTCTCCATCCTTCTCTGCCCTTCTCTGCCTACTGCTTTTGGAGGCAGGGTCTCTCCCTGAACCCAGCTCACATTCTCCTCCATGAGGTCGGAACCCAGAAGACTTCAGCAGTCCTGTCTCTGTCTGCACTCAGAGCTGGGGTCACAGGCATGTGTGCAGACACCTGGGCTGTGACTCAGGTGTGGGATCTGAACTCTTTATGACTTTGGCAGCTTAACCAGTGAGCCATCCCTTCAGTCCCAATATACTAAGTTTATACCAAAAAAAAAAAATCCTATTTAGAGTATTTTATAAGGCATCATCTTCCTTTGTATTGAAGGCTTACTAGTTACATATATGGTATGCTGCTTAACAAAATATCTTACACATATATTTTCCTTGGAGTATAGGGATGGGGTGCAGGGAGGCTTCCTACTGAGCTCCAGTTTTATGCTAGTGAGTGCCATAATTGGTGCTGCGCCCTATGAGAACAAAGCAGAGCACAGAATGGTCCAACTCATCCCTTCTATACACAGTGCAGGTGAGCTAGAAGCGAGGTCTTCATTCCCAAGGCAGAGTGGCTCAGTTTCCTCCCACAGTTACCCTGCGCACCGACGACCACAGCTGTGGTACACAGACACCACAGTTGTTGATCTTCTGAAGGTGCACCTGGAGCCTGTGGGCTGGAGACCCAGGGCTCTGAGAGCATGCCACCCCACCTCTTGACTCCTGTCACCCTGTCTTGCACGCACCCGCTAACTAGTGATATGCCTGAGGATTATAAATGTTCCCACGTGTTCACAGAAAAGCTGTTTCTCAAAGCCCCTCCAAGCAAGAGGGCCACAGTTCTAAACCAATGAGGACTTTTTACACGCAGATAAAAATTCTTCAAAGGGGAAATTCTTAAGTCACAGTTGCAACCTCAGAACAGTTTCAGTATTTAAGAAACGTTTCACTCTGTGAACCTGGCATGAGTGTGCATGCGCGTGCGCGCGCCCGCGCGCGCACACACACACACACACACTTCAAGCAGATGAAGTGCACGAGACCACACATGTACTATGAAGCTGTGACTTGCAGCCAGACTCCAGCCCTGCAGGCCACTAGCCTGCACCAGAGGGGACTTCCCAGGCTCAGGTTTGTTCCTCTTTACTGTTAACAAATGCAACTATTAAAACTTTCTTATGTGCTGGGTCAAACACATGCAGCTTTGCCAAGTGTCCTCTGCCTGCTGAGTTTTCATATAACTCCAAGGAAAAATCTTTTGAAATCTTAAACATGATTTTTCTATGTGGCACGAAACCAATTCATTTTTCTACGCAGGAGCAGGGGAGGGAAAGGGCATTCCTGACGCCAAAGGGCCTCAGTGATGCAAGATGTGGGTCACTTGGTCAAGAGTTTTCCAACTCATAAGGCAACACAAGCTCCTCAAAGCTCAGTAACTGGAAGGACTGATATCATGGGTAGGTGGTTGGGAGTGAAATCAAGCTATGACTTCGTTGCACTGAACGCAATGGGTTCAAAGAAGTGAGGTCACATTGTGGCGCTCAGGGCCCTCCCGCCAGTTGTCCTCGCCTG